TAGGCAATTGATCTGAGGCCAATGTCCCAGAGGTTGAGGCCACCTTGATCCCAATGGAAGCTGGCACGGTCCAGTGCCATCGTGTTGATGAAGCTGGAGCCGTAGGCGGTGGTCTTGGGGGCTGAGATGAACCATTTGGTGAGGTTTTCGATCTTCTTGATCTGCCACTTGGTCGGTGAGTCCAGATAGAAGTGGTACATCAGAGGGGGGGAGGGCGTAAGACTTGAGAGCTGCAACCTTGGACCGCAGTGTGGTGCTTTCAGACTTGAAGAGCGAGAGTCTGCCGCGGAGGGAGCTGATGAGAGTCTTGAACTTGGAGTAGATGCCCTGCTTGGTGAAGTTGACGCCCAAGTACCTTTCAGGTTCGGTGGCCACTGGGTAGGGGAGCTCAGACGTTGGTGCATCGCCCAGGACAATGTGGACAGACTTGTCGACATTGATGGCTGACGAGGTGGCTTTGCAGAAGACCTTGAACCATTCAATCACTCTCAAGAGTTCCTCGAGTGACCTGGTGAGCGCTGCAGTGTCGTCGGCAAACTGGAGAAGCTTGACCTTCTTGCGGACGGTCGAGACTTTCTTGCCGTCGACTAATGTGTCGAGGGGCGGTGACACAGGCAGGCCCACGATGGATTGGTCGGCGTTGATTGCTGCTGCCAGTGCCTCAATGACCAGCACAAAGAGCGTCGGGGAGAGAGGGTCACCTTGCTTGGTGCCCCTGTCCAGGGGCAGGGCATCAGTGAGGATGCCGTTGACGCTGACTCTGGCCACGGATCCCCGCAGCAGGGCCATGACGAGCCCGACCATCAACGGCGGGATGCCGACATGGCGGAGAGTGCGCTCGATGCTGTCATGCGATATGGAGTCGAACGCCTTCTGGAAATCAAACAGCGTGACATAGCCAGTCGCCATGTCTTGGGCAGCCGTGTCGATGACTTCCTGCAGTAGGATGGTGTTGTCGTGGATCAGTCTCTCAGGGACGAAGCCATTCTGCAATGGGTTGATCAGACTGTCGAGGAGCTTGGTGAGTCTGGCATTGATGACCTTGCTGAGGAGCTTGTAATCCACGTTGAGTAAGGTGATGGGACGTCTGTTGGCAATGTCCAGCCTGTCGCCTTTCTTGAAGATGGTGTGGATGATTCCACACTTGAAAWCACTGGTGATGGTCTCAGGGTCGAGCAGCATGTTGTTGAAAGTGGTGGCGAGGAAGGGGGCAAGGACCTCGGCGTGTGTTACGTAGAACTGACCAGTGAGTCCATCTGGGCCTGGAGACTTTGAGGTATCCGTGGTGGAGATGGCGGAGAGGACCTCATCGGCCGTGATGGGCTCCTCGAGTGGCTGTAGGTGCTCCCGGCAGTCCGGGCTCCAGTGGGACAGTAGTCTCTCATGCTCATCGGCGTCGTCCGCGCCCTTGGTGTAGAGCTTGGAGTAGAACGAGTGGAATGCCTTGCGTATCTCGGGAGGGTCAGAGGTGGCGGCGCCATCCTCGCCGTAGATCTCGGTGATCAGATCAACGGTCTTCCTACCCTTGGCGATGCGAGTGAGGTACTTGCTTGGCATTTCCATGTATACTCAAGTGAACGTTCAATAATATTAAGAGTACATCTCTTTATATTAAAATTAAATGTAACATGAGGAACTTCCAGAGTCGAATGATTCGTTTTCCAAAGTGTTTTGATGTCGCTTCGCGCACTCAATCACTTCATTCGTTCATTCATAGACAGTGGGTCTTCAATTACTAACTGTCATACTCTCAAGGTATGTCCTCTTGTTACACCAATCAATCATCATATATATAAATAAATAAGTTTATATGATTCGTTCATTCATAGACAGTGGGTCTTCAATTACTAACTGTCATACTCTCAAGTGAACGTTCAATATGCCTCTGAGAGAGCAAAAAAATTGTACTCCCCTTCCGGGAATTGAACCCGGGCCTTTCGCGTGACAGGCGAAAATCCTCACCACTAGACCAAAGGGGAATTGATGTCCAAAAAAGTTACCTCTCCAGCTTTAACTTGAAAAAAAGGTGCAAAAAAAAAAATAATATCAGAATTTCAAAAATCTAGATTTGATTTTCAAATGTGGGACTTTCAAAACTTTTTGTACTCGGCTTTACAACACATCGGAAACCCCAAACATCACTTTTTGTACAGCTCTCAAGTGTGTCTTTCTATTATAATAGAGTACTCTTCCCAAACAAACAAACAAATAACCAGACAGACATCATGAATCCTATACCATTCATGTCCTTCAAGAGGAAGTACCTCACTAGTGACGAACTTGCACCAGTGACATCCACTTCCTCTTCACCCACTGCAGTCTCATCGTCGTCGTTGTCGTCATCGTCGTCATCAATATCTTCGTCGCCCATGCACCATCTACCACTCGCAGCAAACCCAGCTCCGACCTACCCATTCTTAGACCTACACCCTCCTCCACAAATGCCCACTGCACTCTCCTCATTGGCATCCATCATCGCTGGCATCGGGTCTCCAACAAGTTCTCCAACAACATCAACAACATCAACACAACATCACTCCAGCCATAGTAGTACATCAAGGCAACATCATACAAGATCATCAAAGAGACAGAATATAAGTGATGACCATCATCTTCATCTTAATCATGGTAGTGGCGATCGACATCACTATAGTGGCGATGTCGGACTTAGACAATGGGCTGCAGCAGGATTGGCCTACCCCTACCTTGCCTACAACAGTCAAGACCAAAGACGTCACTTTGAACAAAGTCAACGTATCCGTACAATCAAACCAAAGTTAAAGTATGTGACCGTGATTGATTAGTAGTTTGATTGAATGTGACACTAACCATTCCCGCTTCCCCTTACCCTCAGGTTCACAGACCTACCCTATGAACTAGTATGTTATATATTCAGCTACTTTAAAGCACAGGACTTGCGAATGACATCGTTGGTGTCTCGTGAGTGGAGTAGGATCAGCTTTATATCAACGACTGAGCTGTATATTGACAATCACAACAGCCCCTCGAGCGAGGAGTTGATATCGAAACGAATCTGCAAGCACAGCGACTACCTCAAAAAGATAAGATGTGCATCCACTCGCTCCTTTGGCTTTGTGTCGATCGACACGATCATTGCACACTGTCATCATCTCGTCGACATTCAGTTCTATCAGTGTCCGGCCATACTGGATGCGCAGGTAGAGTTGGTGTGTGCGCGACTACTACACCTTCGCCGCCTCATCCTGCACAGCGACCAACTGACGAGCAAGACTATCGACGCGCTGGCACTGGCCAAGGAACTGCGCGAGCTAGAGCTGGGCGGCTTCTCACGCCTGCACCCCGAGTCATTCGCAAAGATTGGCGCATGCCAATCTCTCTTGTCGCTGGATGTCAGTGGCATCGACCTGGACGTGGACTTTGTGCGACACCTGGCCTCGTGCACAACACTGAGGTCTCTGCGACTGCGCATCGCATCGGAGCAGTCAATCTCACGTCTGCCCTACCTGGCCAACCTCACGACACTGTCGATCGCCGAGTGGGAGTTGAATGACGACGCCAACAACGACGACAACAAGACCAACCTTTTATTCCTCACGAGACTGGACGCGCTGGTCAAGCTGGAGCTGGCCTCGGCCATCTGTGACCCGCCCATGGTCATTGGCGACCTGTCAAGTATCATGCACTCTTGTCACACACTTCGCGAGCTCGATCTGGACATCTCGTACCACCTGACCGAGGACACGTTTGTCCAGGTGTTCCAGCAGCTGCAGGCGCTCGAGTCGCTGTTCCTGAGCAGCTTCAACCTGAGCGGCAATAGTTGGCGAGGCTTTTCATCACTGCCGCGACTCAAGTACCTCTCGATGTGCTGCAACTTTATGGACGAACAATCAATCAACACGGGACTGGTGCATCTCGGTCAGTGCAGGCAGTTGGAACGATTCTCAATCATCAACTCGACACAGGCATGGGTGACAATCTCTGCGATCAACTTTCGATCACTGCTCAAGTGTCGCGACCTCAGTCAACTGAGGCTGGGTGGCAGTAGAGGTGGCGGATGGATACTGGACGAATCGATCTTTGCCGCCATTGGCAATATGAAGATGCTGCAACATCTGGACACGACCAACAGCCGCGGCATCACCGAGAAGTGCTTTGAGCATCTGTCGCAGTGCACCTCACTCGAGTCGCTAGAGTGTGGAATCAAGGTGAGCGAGGAGACTGTTGGCAGTGCTGTGGCAGAGTGGTGCGGCACCGGTACATTAGTCAATTGTCCAATGTTGAAAAAGGTTGTCGTGGATGTTCGTCTGCCATCGCTAGTCAATTCCGAGATCACATGCAACACTACACAATCTACAACAAATAGTGGATTCAATCTTATTGCAAAGTTGGCGCCTTGACCATGTAATTAAAATTTTGTTATTATAGTAGTGAGCGAACAAGTGATTGGAATGTTTCCATGACAAAATGACTTACCTACCCCAAACAAAGGTGACAATATGATTGGTAGTTAAGGTGATTGTGTTTGACCAATGCTGGCCAACCATATTGTAGATGAAAAGGATGGTGATGGTCTGAGAAGAGAAGGAGCAGAGGTAAACAAGACAGACCATGAGTTGATACTAGAGGGTAATTACTACCAGCCATTACCAAGGCCATTATCATTCTTGGTAGAGGACAATGGGGTGGAAGCAGATGCGAGGTTCTCTATCATGGTGACAATGGGTCAATGTTAGGGAATGGTCATGTTTGGATGAATACATACTATACAACATGATTGAGTATATTGAAGATTGAGGTAGGAAATAATACTATTCGATAATATATATTTTTTGTTTGTTTGATGGCCTACCATGCTGTAAGTTGTAGATCATCATTGATTGAAATGATGGTAAAGTAGAGGTCTGTCGAGGTGTATTTATACTTGCTCTTTCACCAGTGTCACCTACATCATGAATAAATAAGGATATCATTACTATATATGGTTAGGATTACCTTAATTGATATGATATACCTTAGTTGGAAGAGGTGTCTACTTGAAATGGTAATAATACTTGTTTTGGCAATGACTATCATCATTCCCACTTCGAAGCACTCATACATAGAGTTGATCACTTTGCAAAAATGATCATTACTTGTTCAATCCAAACAAATACATACAATCATGTCAACAACAAATAATCAAAGACAACCATTAGATGGAGTAATAGTATTAGAGATGGCAGGTCTTGCACCTGTACCTTACTGTGGAATGATACTTGCAGACTTTGGAGCTACAGTTATACGTGTGGATAGAGTAGTCAATGGTGAGGCAGTTGCAACACCATTCGATCATCTCACTCGTGGAAAGCAATCGATTGCCATTGATCTAAAGTCTGCACAGGGTCGAGAACTACTCGCTACATTGGCGCAACGAGCTGATGTACTGATCGACTCTTTCCGACCTGGCGTCATGGAGAAGTTGGGTCTGGGACCACAACAACTGATGATCAATGCACCACGGTTGATCTACGCACGACTCACTGGATTCGGACAGACTGGACCCTATTCCAAGATGGCCGGACACGACATTAACTACATTGCACTGTCTGGCGCACTGTCATTGTTGGGTCGTCACAATGAGAACCCATTGTTCCCTTCCAACTACTTGGGTGACTTTGCCGCTGGTTCATTGTTGTGTGCACTTGGCATTGTACTGGCATTGGTGGAACGATCGAGCAGTGGCAGAGGCAAACTCATTGATGCGAGCATGATGGATGGTGCTGCCTATCTCTCGACCTTTATGTGGCAGCTCAAGAAGAAGGGTGGCATGTGGGATGGTGAGCGAGGCACAAACATGTTGGACAGTGGCGCACACTACTACGAAGTGTACAAGACACGCGATGGTCGATACATGTCTGTTGGAGCGATAGAGCCACAGTTCTATGAGTGTCTGATCAAGGGTCTCGGGTTGGACGGTCGAACTGACCTGCCCGAGCAGAACGATCAGGCCGAGTGGCCACGCATGAAGAAGTTGCTACAGGAGATCTTTATGACCAAGACCCGAGATGAATGGGAGTCTGTGTTCTTTGGTACAGATGCATGTGTGGCACCAGTTCTAGAGTTGGAAGAGTTACCAAGTCATCCACAATCAAAAGCTCGTTCATTAATGTTTCAATCAAAGTCGTCGGCGGCGTCAACAGATGTCAATGATCAAGAGATGATGTCATCACCAAGAATTTTTAATATGGTTGCTGATAATCATAATCAATTATCGTTGGCATCATCTTTGGAAACACAACAGAAAGAACAAATACAAAGATTGGCTGATAGATGTAAACAACTTCCACTAAATGCTGGAGCCAATACGACCAATATTCTCAAACAGTTTGGAGTTGAACAATATCAAATTGAGAAGTTATTATCAAACAAATATGTTGTACAGGATAATAATATAATAATGGCCAAGTTGTAATGATAAATAAATAAATAATAATACAAGATATGTAATATTAAATTTATTATTAATTATTCTCGCGTATCTATATAATTATATAAGTTATTACTATATATATGTATAAAATAAGTTAGGGTAGTACTGGAAATACATTGTTGGGGAACATTGATTGAGAGTGGCCTTCCAAGGGTCACTGGATTCAAATCAAATAATTCCATTCCTTTGTTGGATGTTGTAGTAGATTGATTATCTAATTGATGTAATGTTGAACTTATTAAATGATGTTGTTGATAACGGTCTTATTGATTTCTAAAATAAAAATAATAATTAGTGTCAGCATTCCAATCAATAAAAAAATGGTCCGGGAAATGTTTGTAAGTACTTACTACAACTCTGACTGGTGTAATATCTTTAAGTGCCGTCCTCTTCTTTGATGTGGAAGTTGAGGTTGAGGTTGAGGTTGTCGTGGAGATGGAACATGATATTGGTACACTAGTCTTTAGACGAGGTGTTATGATTGATGGATCGATATTCTCCTTGTTATCATTTTGATTATTATTATTGGATTTGGATTTGGATTTAATTGAGTACATTGTTGTTGTATTAAATATATATATATATATATATAAATATAAATATAATAAAGTATATTATGAATAAATAGATTTTAGGTATTTATCTCTAAATAGTAAAAGACCCTATTTAAAGTTGAGACTGATGTAGTATGTATGTGAAGTGTAATGGTATTAAAGACTTGGGCTATCTATCATAGTGACGATGATGATGATGATGACAGTATAGTTTAAAAAGGTCGGTCTAAAGTTTGTTGTTTAGTTAGTTGTTGAATGTTCCAGTTGACTTTACGATGGATGATTGGTATGAATATGAATGAATGAAACAATGTATAATATAATCAAACAAGGTTTGAGATTGAGATGGAGATGGATATAGGGTTTGAAGATTGTAGATAGTAGATATATATAAATATGCTTGGTTGGTTGGTAGGTAGGTTGTTCCTCGGAAAGGTCGAACCTTGTACACTTTTGATCCAAAACAAAATAAATAAATAAATAATGTGCAGTGATGATCTGATCAGAGAGTGAATGATAATGATGGCGGGCGTCAGTTGCGCTTATTTGAACTGTTTCAATGTTGGAACCATCAGGTAACAACAAACAAACAAACAAACAAACAAACAACAAAAGCGAGCCCTAGCCCTTGATCAAGGTACCTACCTACCTTTAATTGTACAAGTATCAACTGGTGTGCACATGTACATTCATACACTTCTATCAACAACAACAACAACAACGACGAGGTAGTTGAACGCGACAATGCCATATATATTTATATATAGCCTATGGGGATATTCATCTTATTGATTGATAGATGGGCGCGGGGCAATCACATGTGACTGCAATGACAGGGGACAAACAATACAGGCGATGATTGATTAATCATGAATGGTGCGAACTCATACAAGTATGAGCATTGCTGCAAACAAATGATGTAGGTACTAGTAGTAACAGTAGCCTTAGTTGTAGTGGCTTTAGAGTGTGCGAAATGACAACATGTTGTTGGAAACGTCGAAGGGGACCACTTCACCAAAGTAAACGACACTCTCACAATCATTCATTCAAACACACAATCAAACAAACAAACAAGGGTGGTGGCTAGTCAGCTGACATTTAATTAATCAAGTCTGGCTGGTGACTGACTGACTGGCACACGTGAGTGGTTCCAGTAGGATGATCATCAGTGGCTGTTGATGTGGCTGTTGTTGTAACTGTGACTGCTGTGAGTGGCTGTGACTACCCCGACCCGACACGCTGGCGATCAATCGTCAATCTCCAAGCGTCCGTCATTTGCCAAATGGTAATAAAGCCACCTGCAGTGTACAGTTATATGTATGTGTGTGTAATGATGTTGGGATTGATCGACATGGCTTGTGAGGTGAACTTACCTGGTGTAGACCAAAAAAGAAAAAGAAAAAAAAGAGAGAGGAAGAGAGGAAGGAGAGGAGAAGGAAGAAGGAGAAAAAGGTAGATAAGTAATAAGTATATATTTATATATTAAAGAGAGATAATATCATTCATATGAATAGTAGAATAGGAGTATTAGGTCGCTTAGACCTAAAGATCCATCAATCATCCATCCTTCCTTCCATACTTTTATTGTTGTTGAAGTGTGTAGATTTATAAAATGGTCAACAACACTTTGTTGATCACGTGCCGACAAAGTGTGCCTTTTGTTTGAGTTGGAGCCCTCAAAGAGGTGTCAGGTCTCATTCGTCAAGTCATACTATTGTGTGTTTTGAGTGTTTAAGCTAGAGAGAAAGATAACAAAACAGGAGTATCATAACATCTTGTAAGGTACGATTTTATGAGCAACACATCATCATCATCAAAAGGGGGCTGATGACCACAAGCACCACTTTACCATTGACCCCCAACAACCAATCTTTGTAGGCTGGACTACCAATTAATTAATTACAAAATGGCCAACTTATAATCTATTTTCAGTATCTTTAAGGGTCTAGAGGTCTTCCACATCCTCATCCTTTATCATTTTAGAGATTAGTAGAGGGCCAAGAAGTGATTGGATTGTGTGTTTTGTGTGCCTAGGCCCAAGGTCCTCCTCAGGGCCGATCACCACAAACGAAAGAAAAATCTTTATTTTTAATCGTTTGTGCATTTAGATCCTCTTTTAATGCACTGATTCCTGCTTGATTGCACAGAGCGATCAGTTGTGCACATGACATTCCTTGTGAACAGCGGACGATTGCCTGACGATCAACATCATTGTCCAATGCCATTCGTCTAGACACCACCTCTAGTATGGCCATACGATCATGTTCATTGGGCAACTCGACATTGATCTGTGTCTCGAAACGACCTGGTCTCAGTAGTCCAACGTCCAGCAGATCCAACCTAGTAGTACATCCAATCAAAAAGATCTGTGCCTTTGTCTGTATACCTTCCATCTCGTTGAGTAGTTGAGTGATCACTCGGTTCTGTACACCTCCGCCACCAGATGAGTCTCCATCATCGCCACCACCACCAGACCTTGATAAACCAATCGAATCCAATTCATCAAAGAATAGTATACATGGTGCAGATAGACGTGCTCTTGCAAACAGTTCACGAATGATTCGTTCACTCTCTCCGAGCCATTTGGACAGTATGTCTGAACCCTTTACAGAGATAAAGTTTACATTCATACGTGTGGCCACTGCTTTGACCATGTGTGTCTTGCCACATCCAGATGGACCGTATAGTAGTACACCTGATGATGCTCCATTCGAACCAAGTGCCAATCTCTTGAATGTATCTGAGTGTAGTAATGGCCATTCAATGATCTCTTGGAATCTCTGTTTAACTTGTTCATAGCCACCGATACTGTCCCATGGTACATTGGGTGGATCAACATCAAAGTGTGTACCATTTGCAGTGGATGATAGGTTTGATGTTCGTACAGTGAGTAGTGCTGATTGAAAGTCTGACATTGTTACTGGGTTGTTACTTGATGATCCTCGAGACATTGTTTCCAATATTGCAGTGGTACATAGTTTGAGAAGGTCTTGATGAACGAATCCAGGTGTCATGGCGGCCAACTTTAGAGGTAGATCATTTGATTCCAATGGTGTATTGGATAGTAGACTGGACAGTATCAATTGACGAGTGGATTGTGATGGTACTGATAGATTGACTGTCTTTTCCAAACGACCTGCTCTAAGTAACGATGTTGGTACTTTGTTTAAGGATTGTGTTGTTGCAATCAATAGTTGATTATCATTCAATTGATCTATAAAGTGACATAGACGTTGTTCACTTGATGATGTTGATGATGATGATGATGATGATGAATTGATTGATTCTATATTCTCAAAGATATATAATGATCTTCCTCCTCCTCCTCTTGGTATATTATTGATTGATTGATTAAAGTGCTGTGATGTTATATGTATTATATTATGTTGTCGTTGTTGTTGTTGTTTGATTATATATTGAATGATAGAGTTGACTTGTGTACCTGGTGCACCGGCAAGTAGTACACCTCTAAGTTTAAGTCCCATTGGTGTCAATAGTTGACTTATATGAATGTCCAATAGTTGATCGATTGTCTTTAGTTCATTGTTATGACCAAGTGTTGATTTGATATCATCTTGTTGTTGTTGTTGTTGATTATCATTGTCAATGATTGATAATGATGATGATGTCGATGTTTGTATTGAACCAACTCTGAATAGATGAGGAATACCAATTAAACAAGGTCTAATGATCAAGTCTTGTATTATTGGTTTGTGTAATAGATATCGTTTGATTGCGTTGATCGTAGATGGTTGTTGTTTCAACTTGTTGTTGATACAATAAAGTGTTATTGTCGTTGTTGTTATCGTATGTTTACGATCATCTAATATTGGTTCCAATGTGACGCTGTAATGATCTGTTGATATGTGATCATTGCTAGTTGATTGATGACAATAGTGTAGTATCCAATCTGGTAGTGAACATTGATTTGTTGTTGTCGAAGGACCACCTCCGCCTTGATAAGGTCTTGGTATCAATTGTACCAAGATCTTTGTTGTTGTCAATGTAGTTTCCAATGTTGTTGATGTTGATATACTGGAAACGAATGCATATTGATATGGTCTAAGACTATTGTTATTATTAAAGAAACAAGTATGATCAAGATAACAACCTATATCATCATCATCACCAAGTGTCGATTGATTGATTGTTGTTGATTGTCTTTGTTGTTGGAGTGAGTTGTCATTGTTGTTGTTGTTGGATGGACGAAATACTGTAGTGAATATAGTATTCATTCTGATTATCTCTAGGTAGGGGAAGCTCGAGGTGCAACATTGGAATTAAACAAAAATGGAATAAGGAACAGTCAGTCACTGCCATTAAGTCTAACTTAATTCTATGTCATTTCAGTTTCCAGATCGAGATTTACAAGGTTTGTTTCCGAGGTTTGAGCTCACATCATCTAAGGGGTGTGGTATTCATGTTCGATTGATCTGGTGATCACGATTTTTCATATCCGACTCTAATGCTTCAATTTCCATCATCCAAGGGGGTGTGGTATACATGGTAGAATGCTAGCTTTGCATGCTTGAGAACCGGGATCGATACCCGGCACCTCCAAAGATAACCTTTTCTTTTTTTTTAGAGACTAAAAATTAAAGAGGTTAACATTTGCCATAGCAAGTCCGCGGTAGGTGGACGGTTTCACCTGACTGTGTCGCTTGCAACCTGGTTCATTGAGGATGAGGTCGTTCATAATGACACCTAATATTATGATTCTGTTAGCATTGAACTTCTTTTGAAGTAGCCTGCGATCCGTCTTTATCGTTGTCACACGCACAAGAGAGATCTTTGAAGAGTATTCGGTTATTTATGGATATTTAAAGTTTTCTTATCTATTTGACTGACTGTTGTCATGCTTACAAACCCACTTACACAGTCAATTCCAAGAATGACTGTCGTTCACTCTTGAATAGAGTCGTCAAGTCTCGCCATTGTACTTGAATCTACTCTATTCATCAATCCAGTCAATCAATTCTTAATAGATATGCCATTATCGACATTATCTCAACTACTGTGTGTGATATTTAATTTAACATCCTTTTATCATATGTTTCCTATCTGAATTGATGTTATACTATTACTTTGAATAAGTGATCACTTTCTCTCTAAAATAAATAGACATCTTTCATTGTTTCCCTCAATATCTGTCTCTCTATCTCTTTTCATTACATACCACTCTCATTCCATTCCATTTCATCAACTAAGTTAACTTCACACACTCATCTCAAACTGAATGAATCAAGATTGATGATCAACCATTCATCATTTTACATAATTACCTACTTGTAATAACATTAATATATATACATACATAATAATATGAACTCATTAAAGGTATAATATACCTAATCACCATCATCATCACAATAGATTGTGTTGACGTACCCAACTAATCAATACTTCATACAACCAATCAATCAATCAAACCAAACCAAATGACGAATGATGTAAATGTCTGCGGCAATACGTCTACTACGACAGAAACCAATTGTAGTGTTTGTACTTGGAGGACCTGGTTCAGGTAAGGGTACTCAATGCTCAAAGATCGTTCAAGAGTTTGGACTGGTTCATCTGTCTGCCGGTGACCTCTTGCGTACAGAGATGGCATCAGGTTCACAATACGGTGATATGATTGCCACGATGATCAAGAATGGTGAGATTGTACCATCAATTGTCACTGTCAACTTGCTAAAGAATGCAATCATGGTCGATCCATCAAAGAACTATCTTGTAGATGGTTTCCCAAGAAATGAAGAGAATAATAACTCTTGGGTAGAGAATGTAAGTGTTGTTGTTGTCCCAAGAGTCTGTGACATTATCTAACAATATGTCTAAACCCTTTTAGATGACATCTATTGTTGATACTAGATTCGTATTATACTTTGATGTAAGTGTACTGGTTGATGACCCTTATGCCATAGTTTTATACTAACTAACCTACTATACATTCAGTGCCCAGATGAGGTAATGACAGAGAGATTATTGGGACGTGGAGCAAGCAGTGGAAGGACAGATGATAATATAGAGTCAATCAAGAAGAGATTCACAACATTCCATAATCAAACCAAACCAGTTGTTGAGCACTATGGTAAACAATCAAGAGTGCACTCTATCAACTCTAATAGACCAGTTGATCAAGTCTATGATGATGTTAGAAAGTTGTTCCAAACATTGGCTTGAACAATGGAACATTCATTGATCCGTTCAATCAGTAGTATTATGAATACATAAAGACAACAACAAGTAATAACAGTAATAGTATGACATTTATTGTCCAAAGAATGATGAAGTTGGTGCAGCGGCAGCACTAAACTTTGCATATAGTACAGCTATGATTGCAGCTACGACTACAGCTACTGCGGCTACTGTGGCTGGTATGACGTAGGGGTTGTTGTGGTTCACTTGATCTTGCCATTGTTGTGATGGGAACTTGATGGGTACGGTGGTAGTGGAGGCAAGGTTGGTACTGTTGGCCAAAGGATGTGTGGTCAGAGCTGTATTGTTCAATACTACCAACAGTGTGTAGAACTGATTGGATGGTAGAGTGAATCCAATACTACATTGATTGAATTGAGTGTACAGTTGGGCCGGTGTACCAATCATTACATAGGTAGAGTTGTTGTCAACAATGTCTTGAGTGGCGGCCAACTTGTCAGAGGTATAATCACGGCGACATTGATCATAGACTTGGAATATTGAGTTGGATACAACTACTCCATCATTGTCCAACAATGTAAAGGCCATTGTTACGTTAGTGTTCTCGGCGGATGGATCAACTATGGAATAGATCACTTGGTTCAATCTAACTACACCATCTGTGGATGTAAAGTCTGGATTGTAGGTGATTGATGGTTTGATCAATTCTTCGACGACATTGATCACAAGTGATGCTGGATTGGAAGTGTACTCCACTGCGCCACCATCTGGGTTGATGATGGCCGATCCAGTCAAACGGGCATATCCATAACCAGTCTCTCCACTACCGGCAACAAACACCAATGACGATGTCGCTTGTCCATTGCGGTAAAAGTCCTGGTCAGAGTTTAGACGTAGTGGTGTACGTCCAGTGACTGGTTGGTTAAAGTACTTTCGGTTGAGTAGGAATTGACCACGACCACCAACAGAGTTGACCAGACCATATTGATTGAATGATGGATAACCAAAGTATAGTATGGCAACAGAGTTCTTTGGTAGAGTGAGTGTTCCATCGGCTGGGATGTCAGATAGTACAGGGTTCATGTATGATTGACGGTTGGGGTTGGTAATGTTGTCGGCACGCATGGCATCAGTGATGATAGAGTACCAGAGGAACTTTGTTGGATGTAGTTGTGGTACGTACTTTACATTGATATAGACACGTCCATTCAATGTACCGGTACGACCCATAGCAGTGTACTGAATGTACATTAGTCCATCACCAGATGTGTTGACCTCGGGTACATAGAGGAATTGATACTGTCCGTTGGACTTGGCAGTGTATGATTCAACACGTGGGTCCAGCTGTACAAGACAGCCTGGTTCCATGCAGGTCACACCATAGAGTTGTCCACGTCCACTGCTGGTCATTACAATCTTCTCGGTCAGTTCGTTGGAGTAGAGGATCACGGCAGGGATACCAAAGTAGATAGGATAGTTGGTGGTGGTGTTGACATTGATGTTTGGTGCATAGGTGTCACGTGGACGATCAATGATGATCAAGGAGACAGTGGCGGTGGTCTGGGACTCTAGGCCTTGTGGTGTTACAACACTAAAGGTGAACGTATCGGTTATACCAACACCACTGATTGATGGCTCGTAGGTGAGTGTAGGTGGAATGGATGAACCATCATTGACTCCAGTGATTACACGCTTCGTTCCAAACAACATGTAGGACAACTCTCCATACTCGGGGATGCTTTGGAACTTGACATACACTTGTCCATTGGACATTATTGATGTGTAGTTCACTGTGAACGTGTATGCTTCTCCGGCCAATACACCAATGGTAGATGGGTATGCTTGTGGACGTGGGTCAACTGTTGCTTGGATCGTTATGGTGATTGTTGCAGTGGCCTCTGAACATCCATCACTGACAGCATAGGTTAAGGTGTCGGTAACACCACCCGTAGTACCTTGGAAGCTGAAACTCTGGGATGATGGGTAGGTAGCAGTGGTACTGGTCACTTGTGCGTTGGTATCACTCAATCGTAGAGTACCCTTGGTTGGTAGAGTTGGGAAGCGTACAGTCATCTTGTTGTTGTCTGGATCGGATATTGGTAGTGTAAACGTTGTTGCTTGGGTGGTAGAGGCAGTCAATGATACTGAGGTGGCAGTTGGTACATGGTTAAACTCTAGGTTAACATTGGTCTGTCCATAACCTGGTACGTTGACTAAAAAGTTGACGTTTGTAATAGAGGCAACACTACTGGATGGGTACTTGACCTGAAGGGGAAGGTCATAGGTACCGTTGGCGGCCACGGTGAAAGTAGGTAGAGCAGTGTTTGGTACAAAACCACGAGTATCACCAACAATGAATGGTGTGGCAGTAGAGAATGAATTGAAGATACTGTTCAATGCCTTGCCAGACCAGTCGGCACCAGACTTGTTAGAGATATCAGACAGTCCAAACTTATTGCTCGAAAGGAATTGGTTCCAATTGTCTAATGGGGCACCGCCAACTGATTGAACCACTGGCATTATAAAGTTGTTGACCAAGTTGTTGTGTACTTCGTTGGCAAATGACGATGTGAAGGTGTCACAGTCGTGATCAGTGAGTATGAGCACCAGACGATAGGCACCACGTCTCCAACCAAGTCCAGTAGAGGCGGCAGCGTTCAATGCTTTCAAACTGTTCATTGTAGAGTTAACGTACAACGAGTTGTAGGTCTGCTTGGATTGGAAGTATGGTGCGATTGGTGAGCCGATGGGGAGGACATGTTGGAAGTCAAACGAGTAAAATCCAAGGTCAGAGAAGAATCCCAGTCCAAAGTTAACATTGGCATTGTAGTTTTGTAGACGGTAGATGAATGAACCAATGTTTTGTTGGTAGTCGGCGCGACGGAACTCATTGGTTGGTGTAATGTCCAACACGACGTAGATGTCCAGTAGGTTGGGAGTGGGGTTGGCCAACAACTTGATGGGTACGGCAAAGGCTGGACCAGTCGGTGCAACATAGACATCAATGTCATAGGGTGTGAGGAAACCACCATTCTTGGAAGATTGATAGACACTTGAACCTTCGGCAGAGTTACAATAGTCATTCAATGGTTTGTCACAGGTCACTCCAGTGTATCCATAGTCACAAACACATGTACCATCACCCAAAGAGCCAGAGTTGACTTGTCCATGAATGCAAACTGGGTCAAGTGCACAGGAATCACCAAAGTGACCTGGAAGACATTCGAAACAATTGGTCGATGGATCAAATCCAGTCTGGCATGTACAACATCCCTGTGGATTGGAGTTTACATTACATGATGGTTTAAGTTGTCCATGTCCACATGGTGGAGATTCTGAAATGAATATTGTTGATGTTTAAGTTAATATTTGATTGATTGAATGAATGATCCTAATTAACAAACATACCAACTAAAAGAATAAAAGAAGTTTGTGATGTTGAATATACACCTCTTTGATCCTTTGCACCAATTGATACAACATAACTACCGATTTGTCGGAAGTTTGGTGTCCAGTTGGAGATGACTGTTGTTGGATTGGCTCCCGAAGTGGTACTGGTAACACCAACTGGTAGGTTGGCGTCAAATATTGTGACGATGGCATTGGTCAGGTTGGAGGCAGCCTTGTAGGTCCATGTGACTGGTACGTCAGGAGCACACTTGATAATGTCCTCATTGTGTGGAGTTGGGTCGATAAAGAATGGTACATTGACATTGTTGTCGGCACTAATGATAAAGTCAACGGCCACATAATCATAACCATTGCTGATGATCACTTGGGTCGAGTAGAGTCCCTCGGTGGGTGGCACAAACGACAGGATACCAGTGGTCGACACGGTCAGTCCGACGGGTTGGGTGAGCTTGCTACTGCCCATCTCGGTGGGTGTGGCAAGACGGAAATGGAGTGTTCGGCTTGGGTCCGAGTTGTAGGCCACCATCTGGAAACTATTGTTCACACCCTTGGTCATTGTGATGATTGGCAGTGTACTGCCAACGACCGATTGTTGGACCAGTCCATTGGCGGTTGGTGGAGCAATGTGGACGGAGGAGGAGATTGAGTAGCTGCTGTTGGCATTGTTTAAAAGACTGCGCAGACGGGCGAAGCCTTCAAAGTGCACGTCGTAGGAGGCACTCTGCGTGGGGTAGGTATAGTACACGGTGGCGGTACAAGTGAACCAGTTGTCCTGGTCATTCTTTGAGTTGACCACACACACTGGTTGTTCATAGTCATCGTCCTGGCCAAAGTAGAGTGTGCCAATGTCGGTGCCAGTGTAGTTGTCATTGTTGTAGCCAACGATTGGTTGGCCCACTTGTACAGTCATAAAGTTTACATAATCGGTTCTAAAGCCCAGTTCGACACTGAACTCTATAGTATTATATTTAGCTCTGGATACTGGCATCCATGATATTGTTCCAAATCTGAAATGTGTACCTAATGTAGTAGTTTGTGTGTTTGTGAGTTTGAGTTAGACTTGTGTGAGTTTGCCGAGAGAGTATGTGCCTAAGGAGTCACTTACTCTGGACAAGAGATACAAGTAATAGTGACAAGAATAGTGTTGATAATAAATAATTAGAATGAAGGGTGGCCATTCTCTAATAATAATTTGTTAATAAATAAATAGTTTGGTATTTAGTAATAGTACATGTATTAATGTTGACAGATGGTGATGAATGATTGATTTATGAGAGTGATGTGATGTTGATGAGGTTGATGATGTTGATTGGATAGTCCAACAACGTGGAGTTAGGAGGAAGAGGTGGATGAGGAACTTGATTACAACAAGTACAACTTAGTACATTCGAACAACAACAAGGAGGAAAGGAGTGTGAATTGATTGATGGGCCAGGAACCAGGCACACTAGGTGTTTTCTTTCTCCATTACATGGTCCAAACACAACCCGTAAAGGTCAATGGCTGGACCCGATCACCATTATCGTGGAGATGAGTGAGCGATGTGATGGCAAGATCATGATTAACTTGTTTGATGGTACTATGTTTTATCTCACTTCCACAGCCCATTTACTTTGACATTATCATAATGAAAACAACTTTGGCTGTCTCCACATCTAGAACTTGGCTCAACGATATTTTTCTCAACACGTTTGCTGGTGATGTGAGGCCCGAACTTGCGGGACCAAAGGTCACATCAATAGATCTGCAAAAGGAATGTGTGAGTGTGCCTTTCTCCATTCGCTCGCATTTTGATCAATTCACTCATTGACTTTCCAAGGGACGAAGCCGATTGGTTGTCTCAGAGTTGGTCAACTTACCAAGATTTATAAGTTATGTGTGATCACGAACAAATTATTCGTAGATGTCGTTACGAGTGATCATGATCATACTTGTGTGGAACAAACTACAGGAACAACAACATTTATGTAATGTTGAATGATAAACTTAAAATCTTTCAAAGAATTCAGTCTTCCTCTTCCTTAGTATGTCTGATGCATCAATGGCACTGTCGTCTTCATCATCGTCTTCGTCTTCGTTTGAGGAACTGTCGTCGCCGTCCAGACTGGCGTCGCGAATCTTGGGCGTCAGAGGACCCTTCTCGTTGGTGTTCTCCAGGTTCTTCCAGTCGACCGTGGCAAAGAATGGATGGTTCTTGAGGTCGGCAACGCCACCACTGCCACAGCCCAGTCGACTGTCAACGTCTACGACCACCAGCTTCTGGATGAGGTCCTTGGCATCTGGATCAAAGTTGGCCGGTATCTTGCGCTCCACATTGCACTCGCGCACCAACTTGAATATGTCATTGTGTTGATCGGCGATAAATGGTGGTACACCAACCAGCATCTCGTAGATCAGGATGCCAAGCGACCACCAGTCCACCGACTTTCCATGACCATGTCCTGACAATATCTCTGGGGCAATGTACTCTGGTGTTCCACACATGCTCTTTGTATCGTCAATGATCTTCTTTGCGAATCCAAAGTCTGTCAACTTTATATGACCATCCAAGTCAATAAGTAAGTTCTCTGGTTTTAAGTCTCTGAAGATTGTAATAACATGTTGTGTTAGTGGATCAGCAGTGTCATCTTCATCATCTCATCTTCATCGTCATCTCACAATCATTACATACCTATATATAATACCTTCACCATGAAGGTACTCAAGTGCCAACACAATCTCTGCAGCATAACATCTTGTTGCCTTTAGGGAAAGACTCCTACATGATCGAATGTGATCAAATAGTTCACCTCCAGGTATGTACTCTTGTAAGAAGTATAATGACTTTTTGTCCTTGTACGTTGAGAACCTAAGTAGGAGTGTAATGCGTTAGGTTAGTATGATTGATTGATTTGGATTCAGATTCGGATATACATCAACTTACAACTTTACAATGAACCTATGATCGATTGAAAGTAGTACCTCTTTCTCACTGCATACATGTGCCTCTTGTCGCAATCGAATGATCTTGTTCTGATTGAGTATCTTCATGCAGAACAACCTCTTGGTTTGAAGATGTTGACAGAGACGTACTTTGGCGAATGAGCCACAGCCCAGTAGGTTCAACATCTTAAAGTCGGACAGCTTGGTGTTCCTAAAGTCAACGTAGGCGTTGCGAATCTCGGGGAAGTTGAGAGTCCACAGCACCGACGTTGCGTTCTTGTCCTTCTTCTTCTTGGGCTGGTGCTGCTGCTGTTGCTGTTGCTGTTGTTGCTGGTGCTGCTGTTGCTGTTGGATCTGAGCCTGGTGGGAGAGTTGTTGCTGCATCTGTGAGATCTGTTGAAGTGCCAGCTGCAGTTGACTATTATGTTGTTGCTGTTGTTGTTGTTGCTGTTGTATTTGTTGTTGCAATTGTTGTTGATGCTGCTGTTGCTGCTGTTGTTGATGTTGTTGCTGTTGTTGTAATTGGTGTTGTTGGTAGATGATGTGAGGCGGAGGTACCTGTGTGTCCATTGGTTGTGGCTGTTGTGGTGGTGGTGGAGGTGGAGATGAATGCTGCTGTTGTTGTTGTTGTTGTTGTTGCTGCTGTTGCTGTTGCTGTTGCTGTGGTTGTTGTGGACCTGGCAACATTGGAAGTTGGTGATATGGTGGCAAGATCGTTTGGTATGGTGGGTAGATTGGTAGACGTTGCTGTGCACTGGTAGTCATCTGATTGTCTGGTGTCAATAGGTTATGTGTGACCAGACATGATCCAAGTGATCCATTCAACTTCTCGATGATATCCTGCGCTGCCTTTAGGTAACTCGAGCGAAGTAATAGTCGTGATCCATCGCTAGATGTTTCCATAAACTAATATAGATTGAGATAAAGAGAGTGTTTGGTGAGTCTTCAATGACTGATTGATGGTGGACGGGATAGAGATAGTTACATCAGAGAGAACAGATAGTTGTTTGAGCAACTGAGTAGTAGAGACATAGATATAGTTGATGATTACTGGATGCAATGATATAGAGTCCATCTCATTCTGTGACAGTGCTGGTGCTGGTGCTGCTGGTGCTGCCGTTGATAGTTGGTGCTGTTGACTACTGCCACCTCCATTGACATTACTACTACCACTAATGCTACTGTTGCTACCAATGCCACTGCCACTTGTACTATTGCTACTGCTACTACCTATGTTGCTATTGCTGTCATAGACTCCAATACTACCATTGGCTAGCATAGGTCTGGCAATATTGACTCCATTGGTGCTGCTTCCATTACTACTGCTGCTACCGCTGCTACTGCTACTGCCACTGCTGTTACTGCTGTTGATATTGTTACTATCATTTACAATGCTGTTGTATGCTCCAACCATTGGTTTGGATACTGCCGGCGGTGAGACCTGTTGTTGCTGCTGCGGCTGCGGCATCATCTGCTGTTGGTGATGATGTGGTCCAGCTGTGCTGCCCAACAGGCCAAAGTGATTCGTACCAATTGGATCGAATGAGGGCGGGTGCAACTTGCTATGTGCCATGCCATTGTTGTTGCTCCCATTGCAGTTGACGACGTTGTTGGTATTGTTTCCATGAATGCCATCGATGCTAGAAGTATTTGGATTGGTGATACAATTGTTGTTTAAATCTGATGAAGATGATGTTGTTGTTGTTGGTGGTGATGATGACGATGTAGTTGTTGTTGTAGTCATCATTGTTGACGTTGGTTCATTATGTACAGTCTGTGGTGGAGTGATTCTCCGACTCTTGGACGGGGAATTTGAGGCGAGTTGTTGTTGTTGTAGTGGCCTAAGAGGATTTTGGTGTGGATGTGTCTGTGACACTAGGCTAGGATGGATACCAAATGGTGCCAATGGGGTGGCAACCGATCCACTCAGTGCCTTAATGCCAGAGTCCATATTACCAAAGTATGTATGGTGATTCCATTGTTGTTGTTGTTGTTGTTGTTGTTGAAGTTGTTGATGCTGCTGTTGTTGCTGCTGCTGCTGTTGAATTTGTTGTTGTAGATGATGTTGTTGTTGATGATTCATTGGTTGTAAATGTGGAAGAGACGGTGGTGGAGGTCCACCATTGCTATTGCTATATGACATGAATTCTGTAATCTGTAATGGATTTGTGATATATTGTTGTCTCACCTGGCATCTAAATGAAGATAACGATGATGACGATGACGATTAGAAAAATGATCAATTCATTCACCTTTGTTGTATCTTCCACTCAACTTACCCTATTCGTCTAAGTGGAGAGTTTAAAGCTAAGTCGTCAGAGTATGGACAGGGTTCCTTTCGCTTTAAGAGATGGTGATCGGCAGGAGCAGATGGCAATGGATCGACGATATGTTCCATAATAATTGGTTGGACCGCGGGAGCGTTTGGATGGGATGGTTGGGGATAGATACAGTTGATTGGCGGTTGGTCAATCAATCCCTTCTGGGTCGTCGTCACCTTGATATTATTATTACTGTTGCTATTGCTCTGTATGATTCTATCGATTATCTATTGATTGATTGATTGATTGCTGTATGTTTTGTCGATGCTACCGCTCTGAGACTAAGACTGGTAACTGATTGTTGAGTGACTTGATTGATAGGTCAAACATCAATTGCAACAACAACAATAGGTCGACTTTTGTCTTGTTGAAGTGAATGACTGGAACTGACTGACTGGAACTGACTGACTGACTGACTGACTGTCTAATGCTACTGTTGCTTCTTCTGATGAGCTCAGTAGTTGTAGTACTACTCCAAGAGTGAGTTGTGATGCGATTGGATGTGATGTGAAGTGAAGTGGTGAGTGTGTCAATGTTGAATGAATGAATGAATGGTGATAGGGATAGAGTGGTTGGTAGAGATAGAGAGATAGTGAGTTGTTGAGTTGTTTGTTTGAGAGACAACCAAGCACACACAAAAGGAGAGTGATAGAGAGTGAATGAGTGAATGAGTGAAAATAAAGTGTTAAATTGTGTGTGTATGTGGACCTGAAAGAAAGAAAGTGAACTGTGAGGTGGGGGTGAGTGTTTGTTTGGATTGGATGTAGGAAGGTGTGTGTTTGTTGGTTTGGATGAGAATGTGTGTTCGATGGAAGTCAGACAGCAAGAGGGTTAGGGTTAACACACAATCAAGCAACAAGCTAGGTCGAACACTAACTATTTGATCGATTGATTGATTGATTGATTGTTTGATTGGCTGGACTGACGGATGGATGGTTTGTCGTTCTGATAGTAGTAGAGTTTGGTTTGGTGTATGGGGTATGAATGTTACGATGTTGTATGTCACTATTATTATTATTGACAAGTGTCAAGTCCTTTTTTATGTAGTTTGTTATTATTGCCTCAAATTACAATACAAATACTAATACTAATATTAATATTTATACTACTTTGATAATACTCTCTAATCAAACATACTAGGGGTCTAGTATATGTTATCGTAGAATTCAAAAAATAAGATAAATGTTCTATTCAAAATGATGACGATTGTACCATGTCATTATGACCCTATAACTAATAATAATGTACATCCTCTTATATTACATTATAACACATAATATAATATCAAATCATTTTTGGAAGGTATAGGATAGCTTGGTAGGGTACTTTTGCAAAGGTCCTTTTTTTTCATTCAAACATAATACCGAACTTGAAACCGACCAATCATTAGTTTCCAGATCCAGAAGGATAAAATTTCTACAGCATGCCGTGTTTGTCTTTGCAGGACATTGGAGTGTGTACCCAATCGTGCTATCCAACCTAACCATATTCATTTGTTGGACGGGTAGTTACTCATGAAAGGTGTCCAATGGAAATCCAACAGACACTAGGATATATTGATATTTGTACCCTTAATAATATATATAAATATTATTGTTAAGTATTATTTTTGTTTTATTGATATTCAAAGATTTAAAAGTTATCTTCTCCTATAGAATATAAATGAATGTTATTAAGATCATTGATGTTGGATGGATGGTATTGATAGTTGAATGAATAAGAGACATGGCTATGTACAGCTAGCTAAATCATGATCAGTTAAGGTGACATTTGGAACCACAGATGCTGCAGAAGACTTAGATGCAAATCCAGAGGTTGGTAACCTTGACAATTCCAAGGATATCAAGACATGGAATACTGACAGTGAGCAGGTTGCATGTCAACTTGTCAGAGCCCTGGTCCACAGAGGTACCACTGGTGATGTTAAATTGACCGTTGGACTTGGAAGTAAGGTTGACGGAGCCAATTGATTTGAGGTTCTCTGGTGTTATATTGAGTGAATAAGGTTAGATTTGGATATTTATAATACATCCAAGTTAAATAGATATTAATACATACTGATGAGCATTGTTTGTTTAGATTGATTGTTAGTAATGATACTTATTTAGTAATGTAGTGATACTTGATTGATGTCCTTTCAAATCCCAACAGGGTATTGTATTTATACTTGATGGATACATTGATAATAATATATCTTGTTGTTGGGAGTTTTACATCTATATTTGATTGTTCCAGGAGGAGATAATAATGGGCTGCTGACGTCTGTTCTGTGAAGTAAACTGTGATTAATGGGTATACCCAGCCTACTATTGTATTACTATTTAGAGTGTTATATCATCCTACTCCTTGATTGATCATAATTAGGGTTTAAATTAATTGCCATCACTCAATCATTCCTGACATCAGCAACCACAACACCCCCTCATCCACAAACATAATTGATTGATTGATTGATCAGACGAGTGTTTGTGTGCGTGCGTGTGTCGTATCATTTCTACATTGTAGTTGACGTCTTCATTGCCTGGATATATCGGTATACTTATGATTGTTTAGTTTACTCTTGCATATGACTATAATGTAATGTTGATGAGACCGAATGATGACGGGGTCATACGACATATAAATTTAACATGTTAAACAAGTGCTAGTGCATGTGTGACAGAGGCAGCAATATGTTTGATGGGTTGACCAATCGCAGAGAGACTATCCAGTACAACTGGTTGATTGTATACACATCGTTTGTCCAACGCCAATTGGAAGTCGTAGTTTGATCCCCAACCATAGTACTTCTGTCCATCGGTAGCAATGGCGTATTGATGTCCAGTCCAGAACTTTGTTATGCCCGCAGGTAATGTACTAATGTGATTCAACTGTCCAAACAATGATTCCGATCCAACTCCAAGCTGTTGTGAGTGATTGAGTGAGTTAGTCAGTATCCTCCATCACACACGTCAATCATTAACATATCCAATCACATTACCTGTCCATGATCATTTGAACCAATAGAGTACATTGCACCAGACTTTGTGAGTATGTATGATGAGAAACTACCACATCCAATTTGAATGATTGGATCACCATGTAGTCGGGAGATGTCTAGCTCATGGACTGAAGAGAAGCATCCCTTCTCCATGCCCTTCTCCACCGGTTGGCATTGACCCTCTTGATTGCGACCCCAAACCAACACTCGATTGTCTTGAGTTAGGGCCATTGAATGAAAGTAGCCTGAACTGATGTCGACCACTGGTGGACGGTCCTGTAGCAGTGCATGTCTTATACGCTTTGGTGTACGCTCATTAAACTCATTGTCGTGACCTAGTTCGTTAAAGATTGCCGAGCCAAATGTGTAGAGTTGACCATCGTTGGACAATGCGACTGTGAAGGTCGAGCCGCACGACAAGCGCTGTACGCCAGTCTTTTGAAGCCTCGTGTTTAGGTAGGGGTTGTACAAGAGACGGGCATAGGTCGGTGAGCCGAGCTGCCCGCTGTTGGCACTGCCCCACAGATAAACATTGCCATCGTCCAGTAGACATGCGCTGTGAAAGGTGCCCGATGTCAACTGTTTCACTGAGCGGCCCACCAAGTTGGGTGGCTTGAATGACTCGCAATCATTACTCAACGGTACAATGTTCTCTAGTACCGGTATCTTTCCATTGCCAATGATCAGTTGACCATAAGAGTTATCTCCACATCCTAATAGTTGTATCTGTTGTTGTGATTGAATAGTACTTGTCGGTGTAGCTGCTGCTGCAAACATTGTAAATGTTGTTCCACAACTAATATGAGTGACATCATGTTGTATCAGTTCTCTAACAAATGTAGGCTTGTTCAGTTGATTGACACCCATTCCATGTCCTACTATGTAATTGATTGATAGAGAGTAAGTGAGTAAGTAAGTGATTGAACAGTACATCATGTTGTGATCTTCAATCTGACAAGTACATTTGCCGTTTGATCCTGATCCCCATGAGTAGACCTTGCCAGTTGTAGTTGTAGTGTAGTATCTACTGCTGCTGTTGATGAGTGATCTTAGCAATGGTGAGCGACCACCAACAAAACAACTACTACTACTACTAATAGTTAATCGTGTCTGTTGCATCAACATCATCATTGAATTTGAAGTGATCAACTTGATTGGTCTCAACTTCAACCACACTTTAATTCTTTGATGTTCCCAAGGTTCACAGTGAACTCTTGCCTCAACTCGGGATGAAGCCTGATTTGATTTAACGATGGTTGTTTAATTAAACCAAAACAAAATAAATATCATTCATTGTTCAAATAATAATAAGATAAATAATAGAAGATAAATATTTATTAGTAATTAGATGGATTCATTCGATATATTGAATAGACATAATAAATTAATTGTAAGATCAAAAACCGATCAAGAATGTTGTTCAAGTTTAGTACAGATAATAATCAAGGTATGTTATTATGATTAAATAATGATAATAATAATAATACCAAATAATAATTCCAACATTACCTTACCAATACTAATATAGTTGAATTGATTGGAAAGTCTAACCCAGTGGAATGTTCTTTCCAATGGCATACTCCAATATCAATGAGTTTAAAGACGGATAGTAATCATATATTGGAGTTGAACCAACCTTCATATGTTTGTTATGCCAATCCAACATTGGAGGTGTTCATGGGAGATGACACTGAGGAACCTGGCCGAAAGATAGGACAAGTAGTCAATATATTCACACGGTGGACTCCATCATATAAAGTGTACAATGATGAAGATGAAGAGATATTTAGGATTCTGGGATCGGATGATCTATTTGAAAGAGAAGAGTCTCTTCAACTTTGGACTGTTAGATCAATTATCAAGACAGAGGATGGTGATAACGTAGTTGGTCCAGAGGTAGGATCCATTTTCAAAGATATGTCATTCATTGAAATGATCAATCACAAAAAAGTATACACTGGCCAGAAGACAATAATCACCTTTCCAACTGATACAACACCAAAGAAGAATGCACTATTGATTGCCTCTATGATACTTATTGATCATATAGTATATGGTACATAGAGATAATAATAATAATAATATTTATTTTAACTACTTTGTCGGTTCGTAAAGCAATGGACACTATCTATTTGTGGGGTACGTCGTCTAGTTGATTGATTGATTATGATTACGTAATATATAATGATAATGTCAGTTTAAGTGCCATCAAAGAATAGGTCCATTCCTTCTCACACACTTCAATCACTCAATCACTCAATCACAATCAGTGGAATATTTCTTACCTTTTATGGTAATAATTGAATGAAAGTGTGAACACATATAATTATTATTATTATTATTATTATTGTCGTCATATATATATTCCAATACCCACCAACTTCATCACTTTAACACATACACTCACCCAATTCGTATTTCGTAATCTTGATCACAAGTGTGTATGTGTTGATTGGACACACACATACAATGGGTTGATCACACAATCACACTCACTTCTATTTATACATTTCATTCAAATCTCGATTAGTAGTGATCATTATCATATGTTCATAGCCAATAATGGACTAGGCATCGTCTACAATCATTAAAGAGTGAGTGTGATAATGATGATGATGGAGTAACTCAAACACTCCATCATCATGATCAACATATACAATCACACTTCTTCCTCATTCATCCCATTCTCACTCTTTCATTCTCTCAGTCCTACCGTTGTGACATCGCATTATTTCCCCACCTACCATGATGACAATGACAGTATCGATCGACATGAAGCTATGATGATTGGATGGTGCAAGTACAACTTGTTTGCTTGTTGTGGATCGCGTGTCGTGTCGACAACAGCCACTTACTCACTGACTGATTGATTGATGGATTGACTGACTAGCAATGATCATTGAATGAAATGGATAAGGGTAGTTGATCAACTTCCATCATGTCCCATTGTTCATTGCAATTCCGAGTACAATCAAAATTACTATACTATTTAATTAATATCACTTTCAATTAAATTATTATTTATTATTATTTTTTATTTATTATTAATTATTATTTATATTCAATAAAATAATTATTTATTTATGGAAATGGATGGAATTGGATCATTTTCTGGAAGACCAATGTATGAAATGACGAATATGGAATTCAAAGTTGGTCGCATGTTGTATGAGGAGGATGACATGGAAAAGTACAAGAGGAGACAGATTAGATTGTTAAAGAATAGACAATCGGCAGCACAGTCAAGAAATAGAAAGAAGGAATATATATCAACTTTGGAAGAGAAGTCCCAAGAGCTTGAATTGGTCACCCAAGAGTTGAGACAATATGTCCAACAGTTGGCAACGAATCATCAACAATCAATCAATCATATCAACAAATTAGATAACAAATTACATTCATTATTACATCAAAATGATCAATTACAACAAAGAATAGATGATATCATACAACAATCAACTTCATCACCATCATCACAGTCATCATCACAGTTACCATCACCATCAACTCCATCATGTACCACTACTACTTCCACTACAACTACAACTGATACAACACCATTGGTTGTTGTTGTCGACGACGATAACAACAACAACAACAAGGAATGTGAACAAGTGTTCAACAACTCGTCCAATAGTCGACTGAACTCCAATGCTATGCTTGGAGGCATGTTGGCCAAACAAAGTCTGAGCCTGTCCACGCCAAATGTCCACTTGACACCACCATCATACTTGACAAGAGCAAGGTCCTCGTCATGGTTCAGCACATCATCCTCAATCTCTGAGTTTGGAGAATGTGGTAGTCTACTTAACCAGGATGCACTTGCCTTCTCTGCCGACTCTTCACCAATGCTTCCATCTCTGCTCCAGATGACCAAAGATATATCTCCATCCCTATCACCTGCAGGTAGTGGTGGTGGTAGTACGACTACCACGACTACCAAGAGTAGCTGGTAATTGATTGATTGATCAAATTGATTGATCAAGTTGATTGAATAAATATACTTATATTATTATACTATTATTACTGATGATGTTGTTGCTGCTTGTTGTTGCTTGTTGCTTGCTGCTGCTGGTCGTGCCGAATAACGGCTCATTAACAGTTGATCATCTGTCCATGATTGGGGGACAGACCTGCGAATTATCCATCCTAGGGTCAACGAGTAACCATTGGATTGATATAGTCCTCATCCACAATGTAGATGTTTAGATTGAGTACATACTCCTCTTCTTGCTGCTGAAGTTGAAAATCTTTTTGTTTGACTGGTCGAGTGATTGGTGGAGGTACTTGAGTGTGGATGTCGTTCCAGTTGATACTCTTGAAGAATGGATGTGACTTGATCTCTTCGATGGTTGGTCGACGGAATGGATCCAGGGTGAGCAGACGATCGATGAGATCCTGTGCGTCTGGATCAAAGTCGGGCGGGAACACCATCTCACGACTCATGATGAGTTGGAAGGTGTAATAGTCGCTCAGACCCTTGAATGGCAGCTTGCCCGTTATGAGTTGGAAGAGCAGACAGCCATACGACCAGATGTCTGCCTGTCTACCGGCCTTCTTGTCGACCAGCAACTCGGGACAGACATACTCGGCGGTGCCGCAGAACGATGCCGACAAGCTGTGTGGATCCGGACCCAATTGCTTGGCCGTGCCAAAGTCACACAGTCGTATATGATAGTTTGTGGATAGCAGTACATTCTCTGGTTTGAGATCCCTGTGGACTATGCCGCGGCTATGTAAATACTCCACGGCCACCAAGACCTCTGCCGCATAGAACTGTACAATAGGCAATGGGAAGCATACTGCCTCCCTAAGCAACTCCAAAAGATCACCATTCTCACAGTACTCCAACATAATGACTGTATGTAGTTGGATGATTGATTTGGTGATGGTCAGTGAATGAGTGTCAATCAAAGGTCAGTCAGCCCCATGGATACGTACATAGATTGGTATCATCTTGGAAGGTGTAATAGAGCTTAACGATGAAGGGATGGTCCAATGACTCGAGTATTGTCTTCTCGGCAAAGGCATACTTGGCCTTCTTCTCTTTGGCCAACAGGTGTTTACTCATTACCTTGGCGGCGAAGCGCATACCGCTCAGCTTATCAATGACCAGTTTAACCTTGCCATAAGAGCCTCTTCCTATTGTCTTTATAAAGTCAAACTCTTTCTTTGTACGCTTTGGTTGATTGTTGTTGTTGTTGTTGTCATTGTTGTTTACTTGTTGCAGATCACTTTGATTCAATACCTCTGGGTCTATCAATGTTGTGTTTGTTGTCGTTGTTGGTGTTGGTCCGACGTGAACTTGGTCAACTGCACAAGTTGATGATGCATTGGCAACATTGAGTTGTTGTCCCTCATGTTGCTGTTGATGTTGTTGATGTTGTTGATGTTGTTGAGATGACATGTCATTGTTGTGATCATCGTCATCTTCGTCATTCGTGCTCATTCTACAAGGGGTATCACAAGCATGCACATATCGATGCCTTGACACTCACTACCATCGTCTCTGTCCTATCGTGTCACCTTTGTATAATGATCGATACGATACGATACAATATGATATGAACTCGAGCTTATATTATGTATTTGAATTGATTGAAAGTGATGTGATAGCATTGTATGAGTGTGCAGTTATTTGCGTGTGAACATCATTCACAATTTAATTTAATTATTCCCTCGATGTTATGATCTTGTGAATTCACAAGATAGATACACACAATAACAATATTATTATCCTTCGATACCTAGACAGTTATTCCAAGAGTCTTGGTAATATGTTCAATCAATTCCAACCCATCTCTCTCCCACACATCACCACTAGAGAGTGACATCAGAGTTGATGGATACACCCTCGACTCACACTACCCCAACAAGATGTGGAGGACCAAACCTATCCAATCCGATCAATTATAATAACAATTGATAGGAATCATCTTATTAAGATCGATAAACACCAATCAACGAATGAATGATTGAGTTTGAGCCAAAGTACACTTATACCTCTTCGGCAGAATTGATGATCAATCAACTAAGATGATCGATTATTGAAGAGAAATATGACTCCAAGTTTGTCTATATTAATAAGTCAATAATACTCTTCACTATTTCATAATAAACGATCAAAGATTAACTCTTAATCTCAATAATATAAATATCTCCAATCAATCAAACAAACAATTAACCAAAAATGTTAATTAGTAGGTAGTAGTAGTTTCAGATGTGTCCTCAATTCTATAATATACTAACAATTATGTTGGTGTAATATAGATAATATTAAATCACTTTTAATTGGAACATCAAACATTGTAAATCAATCACAATCCAATAACTCTGTATTATTGAATGAAAATAACATAACAAAATCTAACCAAACTAATAATAATATATCATCTTTTGATGCTATGCATCTATTCAAAGTGAGAATTGATGGTACAATCAATATTCCATGGTAATAATTAATAAACTCACTCTACCCTTGCCCTTGCCCTCAATTTGAATTTTGGCGCTTTTTCTTTCAAACATTGACCAAGTTAAGTTATATATAACTTCATTGTATATTTGTAATACATGTAATAATAACCAATAGATTGATTCAAACAACGAAGATGAATATTGATCAATTGAATGGATATTTGAAGGACACTTCATGGAGATCATTCACAATCAACAATGAGTTATACTTTATCAAAGCAAAGTTTGATACAGATACAAATGAGTATGCCCTAATCATTACAGACATGTTGATGATATGGTTCAAACATAGTAATCAATCACAAATACAAAAGGATAAGTCTGTATGTATTGTACATCAAAAGACATCACATCATGCTCACTCACTCAATCAATCAATCATGTTCCAAAGAGATATAATCCACATCTAGATACAAGTTGTGAGAAGATTGTATCGATATTGGAAAAGAGAATGACTCAACAAAAGATGGATGATACTACTTATAGTATTGATGTTGATTCATACTATGTGGCCAGACTCACATTGACCTCAAAGATATCATTCTATACATTTCAATGGACATTTGTCTGTGATCCAATGGAGAAGGACACCATTCTAAACGTCGAGTCAAGGCGAGCACATTCAATATTCATTCGTGATAATCTATTAATGCCATTACTATTCGTCTGCCAGACGACTACGACTATGGCCACGACTTTGGTTGCAGACACCAAGCCCACCGCCAATGGACGTTCACACACACAGATGATGCCCAATCATCATCAACAATATCAACAAGCACAATCAAAGCCTGCAATACCATCTGTACAACTTAATAACAAGCAAGGTACAACTAATGGAAGACCGATAAAGATTCAAAAGAGGGATCATCAAACACAAACAACACAGACACAACAACTGGCCGCTCTTAATCAATCACATAATGACTCATTGGTATCAGTTGACTTTAGTTCAAGATCATTCGATTTTGTATCCAATGATGACACAATGCGTATATTCACTGCATACTATGATCATCGTCATAGTGGACCATCCTCGTCCGCACTTGTACTTCCTGCGCCACTCACTTCCCAAGACACCAACCATGGCCTACGTCAATCATACAACACGACACTTAGTGATACTAGTAGTAACAACACCAGCTTGGCGTTAGTACTAGATGGAGGTGATAATGATGACAACAACAGTAGTCAAGGAGGCTCATTGCAACTATTCTATGAAGAGGTATGGTCTCAATCCATTCCATTTGGAACTATTCCAATCACAATCCACTAACAACAACAACTCCAGACACCAAAGAAACAGTATAGTGGAATAAGAGACAAGTCCAATAATAACAAGACACTGTCTTCCATACCATTCATGTTGGACACTTGCTCCACTACACTATCAAATCAACAATCCAATCTGACTTGGAACACCAACACTACAATGCTAACCTATGACAGTGGATTGAGTGTTGATCAATGTGCATTGGCATCATCTTCATCATCAATCACTGAGAGTGAAGAACTTAGACGACGTGAGGAGATCGAAGAGAAGCTACAAACATCCAAGAACAAAGTGAAAAGGAAGCGTTCTGGATTCATATGATTGATTGGTCACTAGTGCACTCACTCAATCAATTTCTCAAAGTGACCAAAGTCTTGTGTGACTCATGAACAGTCACAACTTATTCTGAAGACTGAACAGCCAACACAAACATATATTAGCAATATGTAGTAATCAATCAATCAATCAATAACAACATGTCCGATAATAATAATAATAATAATAATACGACGACTACAACAACGCCAACATTGGTAACATTTGTGACGTTGACAAAAGCAAAGCTACAGATACTTGTATATCCTTATGAGACGGTATGGCGCGTAAAGGTTAGGATTGAAGAGCAGCTAGGAATACCAGCCAATGACATAAGAATGATTGATCATGGCAAAGGTCTAATGGACGATGAGCCCATCTCCAAGTTTAGCAATCTCATTCACCTGGTGTTCCGATTGGCTCCAGCGCCAACGTCAACGACAACATATTATCTACCATCAACAACGAAGCTTTACACAGCTTGATTAAACAAAGAGACAGGTCTTATTGTACAAACATACCTCCTTGGTTGGTTGGTTGGTTGGTTTATTCGCTAGCTTGGCTTGTGCCTCGATGGCATCTCCTTGGCAGAGGCTGACCTTTGTGGTCGCGATACTTGTTGAAAAGAGAATGGTATTGGCTTCATGGACTTGTTGCTCTTGATCGATGATGACAATGATGTCAGTATACTAGAGGCTGATGATGGTGATGGTTGTTGAGGTGATAACTTTGGACTCGATGTCTCTATTGTTGGTGGAGTTGTAGATGTTGTAGAAGTAGTAGAAGTAGTTGATGTTGTCGATGTTTGTGGAGCTGTTGTATTAGTTGTTGTTGTTGTTGGTGGAGAGGTAGTTGTTGGTGATGTTGCAGGTGGAGCAGAAGGAGCAGGAGGAGCAGGAGGTTTAGATGCCCTCCTTGTTATCGCAGCTGGTGAACTTGTTGGTACAACAATAGGTGATTGTTGCTGTCGTTGTTGTGATGGTATTGTTGATGATGTAAGGGATGATGATGATCGCGTTATTGGAGAACCTATCAATGGGCCACCAGAATAAGGTGATGGCTTCTTGTAGGTGGTAATGGAAGGTTGTGGTGCTGGTGCTGGTGACGGTGATGGTGATGGTCTAACTATCTGTTGTTGTTGTTGTTTGATTGGATTGAGTTCCAAGGCCGGCATTGATGATGGCCCTGGTTTAAGCTGATGTTGTTGTTGATGATGTATAGGTGCCGCCAAAGATAATCTAGAAGCTTGAAGAGCAGCAGCATTCTCCCTCCTGGTCTGCTCCAACTGTTGTTGTATCAGTGACTTGAGCTGCTTCTTCTTTGGCATCTTGCCATTGATGAACAGATGATTCTGTTGTCTAATGATTTCAAAGTGATCGGCACAGAGGTCTGGCACCTGTGTCTTTATGATTGGATAGCCACATAACGATCCATTGTGAAGTTGATAAGAGCATCGAGAGAATAGCTTTTGATTGGGATCATGAAGTATATCTACAAGGTTGGAGTAGGTGTCAGAGGTACATGGAGGAGAGATGAGGTGGCGGGCGGGCAGGCGGGCTACACTTACGTGCATAACAAAACCTTGATAATGGCAATGGCATTGCATTACATGTTGGTTGTTGACAACTCTTGATTGATTGTGTTGTTGATGTCGTTGTAGTTGTTGTAGTTGTAGATGTTGTAGATGTTGTAGTAGTTGATGGATGATTGATATCATTCTCAACAGTGTGAATATAGTGCCTACGCATTATCCTCATGCGCTCAGTTAATCGATGATGTTGCTTCTTGTAGAGTAGTATCAGTCTGGCGATGAACACACGACGTCGTTGTATCAACTCCTCGTCAGACAGTGCCGTTGCCTGTGACAAGTAAAAGTCCTCGTCAAAGTCGTCGCAGAGATGCCAATCTTCATTGTTGTTGCCAAATGTGTCGTCCAATGGATGTGGCAAAAGTCCATTCAGTTCCCTTTGAATCGACTCCAACTCATTCTCATTCAAGTAGTAGTGTGGGACGACCTTGTCTTGCGCCGGCTCTTGCTGTGACGGCACAGTGGCCACCACTCCATCAGTAGTATCAGTGTTGACAACAGAGGAAGTGATTGATTGATCCATTGATTGTGATTGAGTACCAGGCAGAGCCAAAGGTTGTGCCAGAGGTTGTGCAACTTGTTGTTGTTGTTTCTTCTTCTCCTTGGGATGATGCTTGCGATAGTCATCATAGTAGTTGCCCTTGTTGACTCCATGCTTGGCTAGGATGGTAAGCAACCTCTTGGCCTGTGGAGCCTTTGACGATGAGCTCTCCTCCAACGTTCTCTTCTTTTTGTAGTTGAGAGGCCACGATGTGCTTGTGCGTGGAGCAGTAGCGAGGCGTTTGCTCATCGATTGGGATGGGCACCGTGCATCGCTTCATCGACTTGGAGCTGACAAAGTCACATTGGGCAAATGGTGCCGAAGGGTCTTCCAATATATGTTTGAGGCAGTACTTCCTCCCCTCTATCGGTCTCTTTGAGCAGACCTTCTTTATAGATGAACAAGTCATTCTAAGTATACGACGTTTAGGTTGTTGTTGTTGTTGTGATTGTGATTGTTTGTTA